TCTCCTTCAGGCCTTCCATGAGATGCTGGGAATCCCCCAACTCACTAAGAGAGTGCTCTTAGTGCTCTGTGCACCTGATCTATATACAATCCCACTCCTTGGCTGGCTCCCTGGCCATGTTCCTGTGGGTGAAGAGAGAGCTTTTTCAGACAGCTGGTGAGCATGTGCAGAAAGCTGGTTCAAATATGTGGGGCTGGGAGAAACCACAAACTTGAGCACTCAGCATCATGCTAGGGAGAGCAAAGGGGAGACTGTTAGCACACAGCCTGGCTTTTCAGGATCAAGAAAATGCATACAAGCTTAAGAATTCTGTCACAAGAGGGAGTAAGAAGTGTGGAGCAGGTGTACCCATAGAGAAGGGCTGAGAAAATCTCAGAGAATCTGTAGGACGGCTGACAAGGTATTTCTCTCCCAAACCAGTCAATAAAGACTGAAGGAGGTGACTCCTTTAAATCCAAAAGCAATAATTCAAACTTCAAAGAACATGAAAAATGAAGGAAATGTGATACCATCAGAGGAGTACATAATGTTCCAGTAATCCAAAGATTAGAGATCTGTGATTTGCCTGATATAGAATTCAAAATAGCAGTTTTTAAAAAAAGATTTTATTTATTTATTTGAGAGAGAGAGTGAAAGAATGATCAAGGAGAGCAGGCGAGGTAGAAGCAGACCCCCTGCTGTGCAGGGAGCCTGATTCAGGGCTCTATCCTAGGATTCTGGGATCATGACCTGAGGCAAAGGTAGACACTTAGCTGACTGAGCCACTCAGGTGCCCCCAAAATAGCAGTTTTAAGAAAGTTTAATGAGCTATATTAAAAAAGCCAGTCCAATGAAATAAGGAAAACAATAAATCAATAAAATGAAAGGTTTAACGTAAAGATAGAAATCACTGAAAGCACCAAACAAATTCTGGAGCCAAAGAATACAATGAGTGAAATGGGGAAAAAAAATGCAATAGAAAATATCAGCAACAGAATAGGTCAATCAGAAGAGAGAGTATAAAATGGTAGGTCTTTTGAAATTACCCACTTAGAGGAGAATGAAGAGAAAAGGATGAAAAAGAGCAGGAGGATATCATTAGAGAAGTAATCTATGAATTATTAAAGTCTAGGGCAAAAGACGAAGGGGGCAGAAAAGCTTATATAAAGAAGTAATGGCTGAGAACTTCTTAAATCTGGGAAAATACTTCAGCATTCAAGTCCACATCCAATGTCCATCTAAATATATACCCCTCAATTTCAATCCAAAATAATCTTCTCCAAGATACATTATAATAAAACTGTCTAATATTAAAGACCAAGAGATACTTTTAAAACCAATAAGAGAAAAAAAAATCATACAAGGCAATCACCATCAGGTTATTGAGCAGATTTTTCAGCAGAAACCTTGTAGTCCAGGAGGGAAATAAAAAACTAGAAAAACTAGAAGAAATCAATGAAACTAAGAGTTGGATTTTTGAAAACAAACCAAATTAAAAACCCTTCCTTTTGATTAAGCAAGAGAGAAGTAAAATCAGAAGTGAAAAAGGAGACATTATAACTGTTACTAAAGAAATACAAAGAACTGTGAGACTAGTATAACAATTATACACCATGAAACTGGATAACCTAGAAGAAATGGATAAGTTCCTAGAAATATACAACTTGCCAAGACTGAATCATGAATAAATAGAAAATCTGAAAGGACCTATAACTAGTATGGAGATTGAATCAGTAATTAAAACCTCCCAACAAAGAAAGACCCAGGATTAGATGACTTCACCAAAGCATTCTACCAAACATTTAAAGAATTAATGCCAATTCTAAATCTGTTCAGAAAAGTCAAAGAGGAGGGAACATTTGCAGACTTATTTTGTGAGACCATTAACCTGATACCAAAACCAGACAAGAAACCACAACAAAAGAAAACTATAGGCCAATATCCCTGATGAACATAGATACAAATATTCTTTTTTTTTTTAAAGATTTTATTTATTTATTTGACAGACAGAGATCACAAATAGGCAGAGAGGCAGGCAGGGGGGCGGGGAAGCAGGCTCCCCACTGAGCAGAGAGCCCAATGCGGGGCTCGACCCCAGGGCCCTGAGATCAAGACCTAAGCTGAAGGCAGATGCTTAACCCACTGAGCCACCCAGCCACCCCAGATGCAAATATTCTTAACAAAATACTAGTAAGCTTAATTCAACAGCATCTTAAGAGGATCATCCAACTTCAACCAAGTAGGATTTATCCCTGGAATGCAAAGATGGTTCAACATACACAAATCAATATAATACACCAGATAAATGGAAAGAAAGCTAAATGTTGCATGATCATCTCAATAGATGCAAAAAAAAAAATGTATAAAATTCAACACTATGCTAAAGAGTAGGAATCAAGAGAGATTACCTTAACATGAAGGCTATATCTGACAAGTTCACAGTTAATATTATACTCAATGATTAAAAACCAAAGCTTTTCCACTAAGATCAGGAAAAGGACAAGGGATTTCCAATATTACCACTTCTATTCAACACATTATTGGAAGTCCTAGCCAGAGCAGTTAGCCAAGAAAAAAAAAAAAAAAAAAAGCATCCAGATTGGAAAGGAAGAAGTACAATAGTTTCTCTTTGCACCTGACATGATCTTAAATGTTGAAAACCCTAAAGGCTCCACCAAAAACTCTTAGAACTGATAATTGAATTCAGAAAAGTTGCAGGATACAAAATCGGTTGTGTTTCAGTACACTAATAACCAACTAATTGCAAAGGAAATGAGAAAACTATCTCAATTTCAATAGCATCTTACATAATAAAATGCTTAGGAAAAAATTTAGCCAAGGATGTGAAGGACTTGCACACTGAAGATTATAAAACACTGATTAGAAGAATAAAGAAAACACGAATAAATGTAGAGATTATTTTATGGTCATGAATTAAAAGACTTAATACCATTAAATATCCATACAGTCCAAAGCTAGCTCTAGATTTAATGTGACCCCTATCAAAATCCCTATAGCATTTTTTATGGAACCAAAAAGAACAATTCTAGAATCCATATGGAACCAGAAAATACCTCAGGTAGTGAAAATAATCTTGAAAAAGATCAAAACTGGAGGCATCATACTCCCTGATTCCAGAGTGTATTACACAAAGTTGTCATAATTAAAACTATGATATTCATATAAAGAGGGACACATAGGCGTGCCTGGGTGGCTCAGTTGGTTAAGCATCTGCCTTCAGCTCAGGTCATGATTCCAGGGTCCTGGTATTGAGCCCCACGTTGGGCTCCTTGCTCAGCAGGGAGTCTGCTTCTCCCCTTCCTCAGCTCCATCCCTTGCTTGTGCTCTCTCTCTGTCAAATAAATAAAATCTTTGGGGGAAAAAAAAAAAAAGGACAGATGCATAGACCAATGGAATAGGATAGAGACTGTAGAAACAAATCCATACATATATGGTAAACTGATCTATGATAATAATGCCAAGAATACACACTGGGGAAAGGGTGGTCTCTTCAACAAATGCTGGTGGGAAAGATAGATATATATGTGTAAAATAATACAAGTGGACCCTTGTCTCCCATCATATAAAAAAATCAAAGTAGATTAAAGACTTATACGTAAGACCTGTAAATACAAAATTCCTAGAAAAAACATAGGGGAAAATCCTCATGATACTGGTTTTGGCAACAATTTCATGAATGTGAACCAAAAGCACAGAAACAAAAGCAAAAGTAAGTGGGCCTACATCAAACTAAAAGTTTCTGCACAGCAAAGGAAGTAAAAAATAGGGTGAAAAGACAACCTTTGTTATGGGGGAAATATTTGCAAACCATCTATCTGATAAGAGATTAATATCTAAACTATATTAAGGAAATCATCTTAATAGTGAAATAACAGCCTGTTAAAAAAAAAAGGGCAAAAGACCTAAAAGGGGCATTTTTTCAAAGAAGACATGCAAGTGACAATTAGGTATATGAAAAGATGCTCAATGTCACCAGTTGTCAGCGAGATGCATATCAAAGCCACAGGGGAGATCACATCACACCTGCTACGATAGGTATACATAAAAAAAGAACAGACAACAAATGATGAAGATGTGGAGAAATTGGAACCATTGTGTCCTGTTGGTGGGAATATAAAATGGTGCAGGACTCCCTTCTTTTTTTTAAGGACTGAATAATATTCCGTTCTCTGCACATACCACTTTTTTTTATCCATTCATATATCAGTGGGCATTTATGTTGTTTCCACATTTTCCAGTGTTCCAATGAACATAAGAGTGCTAATATCTCTTCCTGATCCTGATTTTGATTCTTTCTGAAAAATGCTCAGAAGTGGGATTGCTAGGTCATATGGCAGTTCTATTTCTAATTTTTGAAGGTCATGATTTAGTCTGTTACACTTTTCAAAGATGAACACAAGGATTTGGAAGTGAAACACATTCTTTTAATTGGTATCACTGTGAAGAGTTTAGACCAGTGAGTAGGAAGCAATATGTAGTTTTATTAATATAAATTTCAGACTTAGAATATTGCCTTTTTTTTTTTTTGCAAGTGCATCTTAATATCTGCTAGGCACTGTTCACCCATGATCTTGTCTTCCTGACAATGACTCTGTGATTTTGTTTGTTTATTTGAGATGTAATTAACATATAACATTATATTAATTTCAGGTGACACATAGCATTATATTAATTTCAGGTGTATATTAATTTCCTTCTATACACAGAAGTAGGCCTATTATACCTTTTAATCTGTTGGGTATATGTGTGTGTTTTCATTTAAAATTTTTGACCTGAAAGAAAGTGGTAAAAAACATGTAGTGTACTAGGAACTTGGGCTTCAATTACAAGTAAAAGAATTTGAATTGTAAAGAATTTGAATATGTAGCTGGGGTTGGATTCGATATAGTTGGGGATTGGGCAGGAGGAGGGAGGTTTTGTGTATATTTGAGTGTATACACTTGAAAGCAAAGATTGTCTTTAAAAATGTACCCATTCATTAACCATTTAGGGTTTCTTATTTACAAAACAATTTCTTCGAGATGTTTTTCTCCTGTTGAAATACCATCATCCTGGTCTTCAGGTGGTGAAACATTAAATAGTAATTGTAAATAACAAGTGACTTTGTCAAAACAAACATAATGTTGATTAATGTGAACATGAAGCCAGTAACATAGAAGTCCACTAAAAATAAAGATAAACCCATATATATACTCTACTGTTGGAGACTGAATCATTGGTGTCAAAATTAGAAACAAAGATATAGCTATGGATCCCAATACAAATGGCAAAGGTACCTGAAAGTTAAAAAAAAAGAAAAGAAAATTAGCGATGACTTTTTCCTCAAAAGTTTCTATAAACAATATAAGAACATTCCCTTTCTATTTGGAACAAATGTTTCTAAATACCAGGGAGAAAAGTGCAAATATATTTTCACATGTATTTAAGGAGACAGTCTCAGTATTGTATTATAGAAAGTAAATCAGTGGCAGACTAAATAATTGTAAAAAGGTGGAACTGTTATTTATTTATATTTATTCCATAGTTCTTATGATTACCTACTCTATTGATCAAGTATTGTCAATTATTTGCTAAAATCAGTACTTTATTTTTTGGTATAGGAAAAAAGATATAAGAAATCTTTGTCAAAAAATAAAAAATTGACTCTGTCATACTGGTATTAGTCATTGAAGCTTGCTTTGTTTGGGAATTTGGAAACCAGCCATGCATGGCATAACTGTAATATTTGGTTATAAAGTTTCTTTAATCGGGCATGTGCCATTTTTTCCTGGAGAAGGACTATTAACTAATAAAAACAACAGAAAGGTTGAAATCAGAAAAGTCTGGATGGAAATGCAAGCTTTACTTTTTTTTTTTTTAATATGTTATTTATTTATTTGAGAGAGAGAGAGAGAGACTATGAATATGGAAAGGGTCAGAAGGAGGAGAGGGCAAAACAGACTCCCCGCTGAGAGTGGAGCCTGATCCCAGGACCTTGACCTGAGCTGAAAAGTCAGATGCTCACTGCACAGTGAGACCCTTGGGACCCTGCACCTTGTCTCAACTGAAGGAAGCTACATGGTGGGCTGGTGGGTGCTACAAGAGAAATGTGTTGAGGGGTTTTTAATAAAATATTTATGATATATCTGTGTTATTGCCGTTTAAATATTAAGCTGATGTTGGGGGAAAAATTATATTCTAGATAGAGAGTAGAGATTTAATATTAGCATTTTTATCTTCATTTACCTTATAAGGTCTAGGTAGATTGGGTTCCTGGTACCTTAGTTTAAGTAAACCTATCATATACAGCCCTCTTAAAACCCAGGTTGCTAATCCTGAATATTTTATTAAATTGATTAAATCTGAGGATATAATAAGAAAAGAAGTTAAAATGATTATCTGGGTGATAGCAACAGTTGGACTGAAGTAGTTATTGAGCATAGAGAAGATCAAAGGCAGTTGTCCTTCTTGGCTTGCTGTGTAGAACAGTCTTGAGGCTGAAAGTATTGTACAACACATGTTGCTAACTATTGAAGTTGAAATCCCAAAAGAAATGACCCATTGCATGGAAGGGATTACTTTGTCCATCCAGGTGACAGCAACAGCATCTAAAAAATTTTTTCAGAAAAGTCAGTCACTTTTGCTTCATTTCAAATATGGCAGTAATTCTTTACTTCTTACATCTGTACTCTTTGTAATAAGACTTTGCCCCTCTTTCTAAGAGGGAGTGCATTTCCTTATCAATTCCTGAATATGAACTGGCCCAGTGGTCTATTTTGGCCAATAAAATGCATTAAAAATAGTGGTTTGCCAGCTCTGAGCCTACACCTTGAGAGGTATCACAGACTTCTGTTTATTCTCTTGGGACACTGCTTAGTACCATATAACAAACTCATTGTATTCTGTCAGAGACAAGCCATAGTAACTCTGGAGCCATGAAAGTACACCTTACAGACTTCTAAATACAGGGAGCATCACTGATCTCAGGCCCCAGCACAACACTGGCACAATGAAATCCATTGTGGCATTTCTGCCAAGGGCATGCTCTTACAGGTTGTTCCCAGCTAATGACAGTGAGGTAGAGACACCAAGAAGTACTCATGTTTCTGATGGCCAACTTTGGCTAAAGGGCCCCTTGGCAGATGTGCCAAACCTTCCCTTTACTACCTATCAATCTATGGTGTTTTTACTTATCTTTCCCTTTTATTTTTTTCCTTCACTTTGAGTCCAGCTTGCATTGTGGTCCCATTGCTCTCAAGCCTTACCTGGCTTCCTTCTTGGTTTCTCTAATGCAAACATTTTTTAAAATAAAGTCCTTGCACATTTAATTATTTATGGGCATTTTCTTCTCTCTCTGTCTTTTAACTGTGTTGACTTTTCTTTCTTAAGATCTTATTTGTTTTAAAAAAGATTTTATTTATTGATTTGAGAGAGCGTGTGCATGCATGCACATGAGCAGGGGTAGGGGCAGAGGGAGAGGGAGAAGCAGACTGCCCACTGAGAGTGCAGCCTGATCCCAGGACCCTGGGAACATGACCTAATCAGAAGGCAGATGCTTAACAAACTAAGCCACCTAGGCACCCCTAAGATTAATTTTTGAATAATCTGTACATGCAATGTGGGGCTTGAACTCACAAGCCCAATATCAAGAATTACATGCTCTACTGACTGAGCCAGCTAGGTGCCCCTGGCATTTGCTTCTCAAATGACTCAAACTCTCCTACCATCTTAGCCCCCCCCCCCCAATAGGAAAGCATGGCCAACCTAGATACAGCTGTTTATCTAAACTGCAGGGAGCTGCAGACACATGTATGACTCCAGCAGGCAACCAGAACTGCCTTGCTGAGCCCAGCACAAGTTGCCAGCTTGTAGAACTGTGAACCAAGTAAGTGATGGTTGTGAGGCGGTACATTTTGGGCAGGCTTATTTTGCAACAATAGATAAATGATACAGCCATAAGTACTATGATTAAAAGTAAAAAAGGAAAAGATTTTCAATGGGGTAAATATTATATGCTTAATTAAGACAAATAACTGATACTAAAAACATAAGAAGAAATTATGGTATAAGGGTATCAAATGTCCCGCAAAATTTCTGTAAAGTTACTGACTTTGGGTTATAATTAAAGTGGAGTTCAGAATTGTATGATATGATTGCATTATCTTACTACCTATGATGTGCTGGTCTTCTTCAGTGATAATTTGTTGAATTAATAGTTCAGTTCTTTTTCTTCTTTTTTCATTTTCAAGTGCTTACACAACTACAGATTGCCTCTATTTATTTGCAAAATTAGAAGCGTTAAGCTCTGTTTCTATAGATAATTTCTGTTCTAAAATTTAGAGAACTTGTTATTAATAACGTTAACAATCCTAAAATTCAGAGAGAGATGATTGCAATTATATTCTAAATTTATTCACTATACTCCATAATTTTAAACTGTATTTCAAAATTTCTAAGACTAGCTTTTGCATGGGGTTTAGGAGGCACTTGTCAGGGCTCAAAGGATATTGAACTTAGACTCAATATTACTAGTGTGATATCAATCCCAAGGCAGGTATCTAAGTCAGGCTGGTGAGATGACATTGTTGGGGAGGCAGAGAGAATAGTGTCTATTCTGGAAATGGTAAGTTGTTCAGGAGGGGTGATGTGTGGTGAGGCTGTGCATGCTCATGAGAGAGCAAGGGGTGAGGCTAGAAAGTTAGGCTCAACTCAGATCTTGGAGAACCTGTGATGGTCAGCTTAGAAGTTGCTATTTGGTGAAGGGAGTTGGTGATGGGGTGGTTGCAGCAGTTGTGAGAGTGAGGTTGGGAAGAGTTGCAAGAACACAAAACAGAGTATTCAAGCAGAGGAGTGACAGGATTAGATTTGGGTTTTATGACATTATCTCTAGAAACTGAGTGGTGACTGGATTGGAGGGAGAATAGAGGTGACTCTATAAATTAGGAGGTTGTTGCCGTAACTCAGAAGAGAAAAATGAGTGTCTAGGCACAGAGGGTGAGCATGCAGAGAGGGGAATACTGATGAGCTGTTAATGGGGTAGATTTTCATAGGACTTGCTGACTGGTTTGGAAGTGGGTGTAAGGCAAATTACAGTTCTGTCTCTCATTTTAATAGTTAAGAAAAAAAATCTCCTTTAGTGTGTTTCTATATTCCTGTGAGACCAAATTGTGGTAAAGTGTAATGGTAACCTGTTAATGTTTACTTATTAAAATATGTATTTTCCGGGGTGCCTGCGTGGCTCAGTGACCTCTGCTTTCGGCTCGGGTCATGATCCCACGCTCCTGGGATCGAGCCCGGCATTGGGCTCTCTGCTGGGTGGGGCCTGCTTCCCCCATCTCTCTCTGTCTGCCTCTCTGCCTACTTGTGATCTCTGTCAAATAAATAAATAAAATCTTTAAAAAATTTGTATTTTCCTTTTAGAAGCAACATAACATTTTTGTACTAGTGTCAGAAAAGATGCATAAGGCCACCTTTTGACTTTTTGAAATTTGTATAGTTTTTTCAAAATAAATTTCAAAGCTTCTTATTTTTGTAAAGGCTTTGCGCATCAGACTGATCCTCTTTGTGACCTTTGCCTTAAAAACCTCTCCACTGCAGGTGAATTCTAGTTACTGAAGTGCCCCACTGTCTTGGTTGTAGTCACAGCTCCTCCCAAACCACACAGCGTGTTTGTACATGGTCGTATACTTCTGTGCCTGTCTATACAACATTTTTGTAGCTTATGTATTTTTGCTGCTGTATTACTTGACTTCCTCTAGAATAAAGACTGACTTGTTCTCAGTAAATGAGCTTTCTAGATAACTTCTTTCAGGAGTAACTATTTTAAAAGATTTGGTGGAATTTTTTGGATGTATTTCAAATACTACTTTGTCTTTTTAAAGTGAATAGAATATAATTAGCATTTTCCTTCCTTCTTTTTAAAAAAGATTTTATTTATTTGAGAGAGAGAGAGAATGAGAAAGAGTGGGGAGGAGAGGAAGAAGCAGACTCCCCAATGAGCAAGGATCCCTATTCAGGACTCGATCCCAGAACCCTGGGACCATGACCTGAGGCCAAGGCAGATGCTTAACTGACTGAGCCACCCAGGTGTCCCAATTTAGCATTTTCTTAAAGACTTGGCATTTTCATAAAAATTTATTACTTGATTTTGTGGAAATATTATTTGGCATTGGAAAAATGATATTTTTTCTGATCCTAAGTACAACATGCTAATCATGGAAAATATGAACTATATAAAAAAGGAAGTAAAACTTTGACACCACTTACTATTAACCTTTTGTTGTATCTCTGTTTAGTCACATCTATGTGTCTCTTATATGATTATTTTTTAATGTAACTTATTATCCCATATATATTAATATGTATTCATACTATTATTTGCATTGCTAATAGGCCCTGCTAGTGGTGGTATTGCTTTGATTTGGTTTGTTTGTATTGAGGCATTTTAGAATGGTGGTTGAAAACATGGGTTTGGATTTGGACCACCTGGGTTTGAGTCTGTCAGTTACTAGGTGTGTACCTTTGAGCACCATACTTAGTGGAATGGAGAAGAGTGTTTTGTTTGAAGATCAGGTCTTGCAACTTGCTGTCCACATTTACAACACATTACCTTCAGTAACCTGGACAAGGTGCAGTCTCTTATCATGAGAAGTGCATGGGGTTGGAGACACAGTTTTGAATCTTAACTCTGTCCATCACTTAAGTTCCCTGAGCTCCAGTTTCCCTATCTACAAAATGAAGAATGTACTGCCTATTCCAAACAGTTATTTTGAGGATAGGTATTGGGATGTACCCCAAGGGTGGAAATTCTTCTGACAAAGTATCTCTTCTTTGCTTTCTTGATATGCTTCCTCCTATTTCTCCTCATCTCTTTCCCCTTTCTCTTCCATGGCGCTCTCCTCCTCTTCTTTCTCTTTTTAATTCTTGTTGTCTCACATTCTACAACTCTTAGACCTCTGTCCTTAGCATGTAGCCCCTTCTTTATAGATTGTTTAGATGACTATTTTTCCTCTCCTTATAAAAACCAAAGCATGAACACATCATGTTTGTATTCTTATGGGTGTATCGAACATATCTACAGTTCACAGGAGACCATGTTTATTGAGAGTAGGTAGTAGTAGCGACTAGTTCCTCTTTGTCTGGACACATTCATACCTGTAGAGATGATTTCCTGAGGGGTCAAAACTGTCAGGTAGGATATATTCACCAATACGTAAATTACAGCCACCGTGGGAAGGACAGTAATCAGAGATTTGGGAATATTCTCACCAGGATTCTTTATCTCTCCTGAAAAACACAAATAAACTCATCAGAAAAGGAAATACTGTGGGACTTGTGAAAAGTTCTTTGTAATGAAGAGGAGGAGAAAGCATTATTCATGTATTTGCTGCTTCCTCATCTGCTTGGTCTGATTCTGCATTGGTCCTGCACATATTTGGCCTGAAAGCTTAGATTTCTTGCTATTTTGCACCGTTTTGTTAAAAATTATGATTCTGAACTTATACTATGAGTAAAATCTCTCTATGTATATGTGTGTGTGTATATATATATGTATATATATATATGAAATCTGTGATAGTTTTATTTTTTACAAATAGACTGTATTAATATATTCTTACATAATTGATACTTAAAATGTTTTGAAAAATACTAGAATAAAATGCAGTAAATTCTGAAACTGGTCTTAATTTTCTTTTGAAAACTTTATAAAATTTCCAAGTTTTAAATAAGGGACATGACCTGGAGAATACTAAATTTCACATTTTCTATATAAATGATTATACACTGAGCCTTAATGATGACTGTGATACATCCAACTAGTGCAGAAAGATTAAATTTGATTCCATAAAAACAAATGAATCAGCTCTATCTTTCTCTACAGAGTTGTAGACAAAACTTTATGCCTGCTGCAAAAGTAGTTCAGAGATTAATTTACCTGCTATGTTGATCAGGACTGATGTACCAGAATATGCAAATAATCCTTGAAGAAAGGCTTCTGCAATCTGTGAGACACCAGGAAGTTCAGCATCGAAAGCTTTCTCAAACCTGGCCACATTTTCCTTTTTCCCAGTCCCTATCAGAACAATCCCAGTAAGGGAAATGAAGCAGAGGACAGCCATTTTCACCAAAATACTGATAGATTGAAACCAAGCCACTGTTAGCACCCCTCGAGCATTAAGAAGTCCCAATGACCACAAAGTAGCCAAAGCTAGACATTTCTTAAGTAGCTCTGGGGCTGGGCACCTGGTATAGAAAGGCTGAATTAGATAGGTAGATATTATCAAGCTTTGAGTAGCTATTCCTAAGGGATAAGTAAAAAGTTTGATCCAAAGACTGAGGAAAGCAACAGAGGATCCAAGAGATCTTTTGAGGAAATAGTAAGGTGCTCCACTTCTAGGGAAGGTGGTCCCCATCTCTGCGAGACTGAGAGCGGTGATCATAGTCAGAACAGCACAAGCAGCCCAAATACTCAGGGAGACAGCTATGTTCAGTGAGGAATATTTTAATACCCCTTTGGGAGACACAAAGATTCCTGCACCTGTTGTGACACAAAATAATAAAATATTTCCATGGAAAAATCCTATTGCCCTCAGTAGTTGCATGCTTTTTCCTTTTTCTTTTTTTAATCCTGAAAACTAATCTAAAAATTTCATGTGGATTGCTTACTTTTATACACTTTCCCCATGATTCTTCTGTAGCATGCTTTGTTGATTTAGCCATCATCCTTACACAAGCATTTTATTGAACTTAACTCTGTTTTAGAAATGATTAACTGGTGAATTGTTCTAAGATTTTGTGAACTTTTTTAGAGCGTTCCAGAGTTAAAATGTTTCACATGTTAATTATTTAAAAATTCAAATATGCCTGGTGATGGTTGCACAACATTGTGAATATAATTAACGCCACTGAATTGTACACTTAAAAATGCTCAAAATGGTCAAAATGAATATAATGAAATTTTACCACAAGTTTAAAAAGTTATTAATGTAATATACCAAAAAACTCCATATAACTGTACAATTTAAAGGGATAAATTGTTTGGTACCTGAATTTTATCTCAGTAAATCTGTCTTAAAAAATCACATTTGCTACTAAACAAGTTGGTGAAAGCTAATTAAGAAAGAAAGATTTAAGTTTTGGGCATAGATTTTTCCTTTTCCAAAGGGAGGAACTGTAGTTTAATGTAAAAAATGTAAACTTTAAGTAGGCCAAATTTTGAATCCCACATCTGACACTGAGCAGCTGCATGATTTTTTAGTAAGTTGTTTTATTTCTTTGAATACATATTTCCTCATCTGTAAAATGAGGGTGATAATTTCATTTTATCATAGAGTCATTTCCATGGAACTATGCTAGCACCTGTTGGAGTAGTGACCTTCATGGTTTAATAATTGCACTTGTGCGTACTGTTGCCCAAGGCATTGCCCAAGAAGTTAGTGACTTGAAAAACATTCTCCACAGCTTCTGTGGGTCAGAAATTTGGATGCTGGTAGCTGGGACCTTTGGCTTTAAGTCTCTCATGAGGCTTCAGTCATCTGCTGGCTGGAACTGCAATCATCTCAAGGCTCCTCTGGGGAAGGATCCACTACCACGTTCACTCATATGGTTGTGATTCAGTTTATTGAAGACTTTGGGACCAAGGGCCTCAGTCTCTCAAAACTATTGGCTGGAGACCTTTCTTTGTTCTTCCTCTGTGGGCTTCCTTATAGGGCAGATCACAGTGTGGCATCTTGCTTGTTCCATCAGAGAAGAGAATGATAAGAAAGAAGTCTTGGAAGTGACATCCCTTCACTTTTGCTGTATTCTATTCATTGGAAATAAGAATTCCCTAGTTCTGCCCACACTCGAGGGAAGAGGATTAATTTAGCACATTAATACCAGGAGGCAGAGGTCATTTTGGCCATCTTAGCAGTAATAGTTTAGGTTGTATATAATGAAATTATTTTGTGGAAGCACTCATTCTTTTTTTACAATTTGATGTCAATATTGTCCCTGTAGATATAAACCAATCTATTAATAAATATATTTAGGAGCTTCCAGGTCCAGGGTAATATCTCATATTTAATAATGTAATATTCAAAATGTCCAAGATACCATAGAAAATCATTCATTATACCCAGGAACTCTCAACTTGAATGAAGAAAGACAACAGACACCAATATTGAGATGACATAGATTTTGGAATTATCTGGCAAGGATTTTAAAGTAGTCATCATAAAAATTATTCAATAAGCTTGTACAAACATGCTTGAAAGAAATAAAAAAAATAGAAGGAGCCAGGAAAAAAATAGAGTATATAAAGAGAAACCAAATGGAAATTTTAGAACTGAAAAGTATAATAAATTAAAAACTTGGTGAATGGGCTCAACAGCAGAACGGAGAACACAAGGAAAGAATCAGTGAACTTGAAAATAGAGGAGTAAAAATACTCACTTTGACAATAGAAAGAAAATGAACTTAAAAAAAAAACAGTATCTGAATGATTTTTGTGGGAATATAACACAAGATCTAACATTTGTGTCTTTGGTGTTCCAGAAAAGAGGAGAAAGGGGGTAAGCCTGAAAAATATTTAAAGAAATAACAGCTGAAAATTTCCCAACTTTGTCAAAAGATATAAAGCTGCATGTGTAAGACTGTGAATGAGTCCTAAACATGATAAATCCAAAGAAATCCACCCCAAGAAAATTGTAAACTTCTAAACACCAAAGATAAAGAAAAATTTTAAAGCTACAAGACAAATGACTTCTCACTTTTAAAGGAAATACAATTTGAATAAATATATTTATTTAGGCCATTACAGTCTCCAAATCACATGTGTAGCTTGTGTCATATGTAAGTGTTAATACATCCAATATTTTTTAATACATTCAATTTTTTTAAAAGATTTTATTTATTTATTTGACAGACAGAGATGACAAGTAGGCAGAGAGGCAGGCAGAGACAGAGGAAGGGAAACAGGCTCCCTGCTGAGCAGAGAGCCCGACCAGGGCTTGATCTAAGGACCCGGAGATCATGACCTGAGCCAAAGGCAGAGGCTTTAATCCACTGAGCCACCCAGGCACCCCTCAATATTTTTTTTTATTAACTCATACATTCATTCACTCATTATTTGTTTGCAGCAGGATAAAATACAGAAAAATTAATTTGTGATTTATTTTGTTTTGGTCTATTGTTTACTTTAGTTAACAAAAATTTATTGAGCACTTAACTGTGTAAAGCTCATAGCAGGCAAAGACTTTTTGTATTCTAGTCAGGCAGACAGAAATACTTCTTTTTTTTTTTTTAGATACTTTTTAAAAAAATTTTTATTTATTTGACAGACAGAAATCACACGTAGACGGAGAGGCAGGCAGAGAGAGAGGAGGAAACAGGCCCCATGCTGAGCAGAGAGCCCGATGCGGGGCTCGATCCCACAACGCTGGGATCATGACCTGAGCCAAAGGAAGAGGCTTAACCCACTGAGCCACCCAGTCGCCCCCAGAAATACTTCTTTATCTTCGTTAAGAGAAAGAAAAGTAAACACAAAAACACATATATGTAATATGTCAGATGGCGATGACTGATGAATGTTGATAGTGGTAGTGGTAATGGTAGTGTTTGTGTGGAATGAAAAGGTTAACAGTTAACGGATAATATTTTCCTAAGCACAGGGACACTTGAGATAAGTTTTATCCTTAATTAAACTTATTGCAATTGGAGATAAATGAGTATCTTGCAGATGCTTTATTTACTAATTCCCGATTGAAGGATTTTCTTTTTTTTTTTTTTTTCTTTTTTTTTTTTTTTTTTTTTGACAGAAAGAGAGAGTGAGAGAGGGAACACAAGCATGGGGGAGCTGGAGAGGGAGAAGTAGGTTCCCTGCTAAGCAGAGAGCCAGATATGGGGCTTGATCCCAAGACCCTGGGATCATGACCCCAGCTGAAGGCAGACTCTCAATGACTGAGCCACCCAGGCACCCCCAAAGGATGTTCTTAAGCATGCTATAGCTGGCTGTCTGGATAATTTCTTGTATAACTTGCGATTTTTGAATTAGAGCTTCACTTATGAAAGAGAGCCAGACATGGGCCAGTCCAAGTATATAGGACTCACAAGTATTTAAGCTTAGGGACAAGAATATTGGCAATGGAGGTTTGAAGTGATTGAATATTCGTATATTTTGAAAGTAGACACCACACAACTGCTGCTGGATTGGATGTGGGGTTGTGAGAGGTGGACAGCAATAAGACTGGCCAAGGTGTGTGGGCCTGGCACTGGAAGACTGGAGTTGCCTTTATAGTTTTCTATTGCACAAATAGATCTCTTTGCCTTTGGAGAACATTTTTTCACCATTAAATTCAACGCAGCAGTGAACATCCTTTACAGTTTATTCTTAGATACATGTTTGAGTTTCTCTAGGATATGCATAGGGAGTGGAATTGTTAGATGACATGGTACTGCTGTTTTATTAGATGGTTTCAAATTTCACTTCTTTGCCAAGACAGTATTATCAGACTTAGAAAGTTTTTGCTGATGGATGTGAAATTATATTTCAAAAGTATATTGGTCTTTGCCCATATTATACATGTTTATTCTATTTTCTGTATTTTCCATCTCTTATTTCTCTTTCCATGTTTCTGTCTAGGTGTTTTATTTTGATATACGTCTAGTTCAGCAATTACATGTTGTCAAATGCTTCTAGGGGAAAGGTGATGCTAAATGTGAAGTTAACCTCTCTAGGTTTCCTTTTTCTCTAGGACTCTGACTCCCTAAGCCCTTGCTGCTTGATTTATTTCTAGTTCTTGCAAATAGACATTTTTATATTGAATACAGCTTTTTACTGTTTTTGGTGGAGGATTATTTTGATACAAGTTGGAAGTGTAACTCTCTCCATCTCAAGCCTCAGTAAATTTCATTCTCATGCCCAATTGATTAAACTGTCCAAATATCTTCGATACTTTACTTTCTACATCCAATCCCTCACCAAGTCTTCTTGATTCTATTTCCAAATTGTGTCTATTTCTGATCATATGTCTGATTCTGCTACAGGTATCTTGGTCTGAGCCACTATCATTTTTCTTTTAGGTAATGGCAAAAGCTCTTATCTTCCTGCTTTCGGCCCCTGTCTTTTCCTGATCTACTCTCCAGGAAAAGATAGAATATTCTAAGAGTAAGGCTTTTAATGTCTTTTTGTTGTTAAATTTAGGCTTAGGTACATCATGTTTAATTTTGTTTTTAAATTCTAAACATTCATTTGTAAATTCTAAAAATTCACTTGTAATTTAAGCATTTTCTTACTATTTGATGTTGGTACATAATTAATAAAGTAATCTTAAACTCTGCTTTATTGCTTAATAATTATTTATTTAATGATTCTAAAATACTGATAATGATTTACTTCATAGATAATAACAGTTTTGGTGTCTTTTTTTCTTTTCCTTTCTATTGTTTTTAAATCCTTTTATACCTAGGACCTACCTTATAAAGATCAGTGTAAAATAATGGTTATAGCAGTGTTGTTTGTCACTGTAAAAATTTTAAAACCATGCCCATCAATAGGAGAATGGAAGTATATCAACGTGGTCAATATGAATGAACTAGAGAAGTGTTAACATGTGTATATTTAAAAACACAAAATTGA